GGTGAGAGTCCCAACCTGGAGCCATTCTTTCCAGGGGACCAACGGGAGGAACTGGCCCAGATTCAGGTGTCGTTTGAGGCGGTTTGTCCGTCCCTGGTGGTGCCCAGAACGCGATGCTCTCCCTATCCCAGCACTGGGCTCTTCAGCGCCCGCCCTGCGCCGGGACAGGCTGGCTTGGCTCCGCAGCCCCCCGGCCTGGCAGGTGCTTTGCTGCGCCCCCCAGTATCACAAGTGCTCTGCTGTCGCTCCAGCCTCGCTGCGGCGAGTCCAGCTTCTACCAAGCTGCTTTGCGGGGGTCGTGCGACTCGGCCGGGTTAACAAAGGGTCCAGGCGAGAGCTCCCCGCCCCACAGAGACCGGGGCTGGATTCCCGCCGGCGCGGCAGGCACGTGCAGGGCTGCCTGCGAGTTCAAAGCGGGTTCATTTTGTATGGAAAACACACAGGGCAGCTGCTGGCAGGGCAGGGCTCTGCTACGTGCCAGAGACGGCGACAGCCGACGAGGGAAGGTGACACGGGTGATCTGAGGCTGGCACAAGCCACGAGGTGGCAGGACTGGTGGGCCCGGCCTGGACTTTGCCTCCTGTGCCAGGCCTGTCACTGCAGCTGGAGCTGGACGTCATTCTCCATCGTGCCACAGGAGGGAGTCTCTCCACACGCTGCACCCAGGGACGGGGCTTTGCACTGCAACGCCTCAGACCTTCAGTCCCAGGGTCACCCAGTGCGAGAGGCCCTGTCATGGGCCCCCTGCCCCGACTAGCCCCTCCGCAGCAGCCATGCCCCCTGCCCGTGGGCTGACCGATTATTGGCCAACGCTTTCTGGGGATCTCGACTCCAGACCACTAGGGATCGGAGGGAATCTTCCTCGGGGTTTGCATTGCAGCATGGGATTGATCTCCGGCCTGGCCGTCACTTGGCCGTGTCTCGTGTATCTGCTCCCCAAGGGGCTTGGGGCGATTTGATACCTAGCCAATCAGTCACGCACTGCTCGCCTGTTTTACAGCTCACCCCTCGCTCTGCTTCCCCTCAACCAGCTCCTTCCCTGGCCACTAATTCCTAGTGCTGCACCGCAGGAGGGTCTGAGAGCCCGGGGAACTGGGCCTCCAAATCTCCCACATGGCGTTGCAACCCCCATCCGTACTCCATGCTTGCATGTGCTCGCTTTGACTCCGCAGCGGGCGTCTCGTGGGCTGTGGCACTGCCCAGGCCTGTGCTGGGAGCGGAGTGGAACCTCTCAGGGTCTGTGCCACACACAGGGGTGCGTAAGAGAGCTGGATGGAATTGCATTTGTAGTGCATCGGTGCAGGCAGAGTATGAATGCATGGGAGGATGCTGAACGGGACAAAGCTCTCCCGGAAGGAGTCCAGCCTCATTTTAAATGACTCAAACGTGTGTGTGAGGACAAGTATAAATATTAAACAGCTACATCGTTCATTGTATTCAATCCACTCTGTGCACTGATTGGGGCAGGAACTTGCATAGAGGTAATATGGCACCAGGGAATTAATTACAGCATTGTAACACATGCATGGAGGCAGACATGAAAATCAGACTTCTGGCTGGATCTTTAACTTGCTGCCTTTACAATTTACTGCATGCGACAGCTCATCGTGCATGGTCAGTTTCACAGGTTTCCGTGCAGAATTCATTAGCTAGTCAATTTCCACAATTGTTTGTGGAGGGTCTTTTGCAAAGCAACCTGAAGGAAACCATTCCAAATACTCAAACAAGTATGTGCAAAAGCACAATGGGAGTCAGGGAGTCAGGGAACCCATTTGTGGCACTCTGAAACACCCTGTTACCAGGTGTCCTCTAGCACCTTAAAGGCGATGATGAATGGGAGGGTTACTATCCTTTTCTGGATACCCCAGCTAGTCAGTTAACTAAATTGCCTGTAAGGGATAAACTCAGAGACAGTGGGTCCTTGAATCTCGAGGAAGTGTTGTCAGGGAGCCAGGAGAGCAAGTGAAAAGAGTGAGAGATGCAAATTGAAATAGGCTGCAGTATTCTTGGGTGAGCAGACCAAGAGCTGGGAGAGAGGAGTTAAACCAGGAACAACAGAGATGTAAGCAAAACAGGGAACGTTTAGTTAGGTGCTATCAGGTTGTTTTCTTTACTTTGGGTTTGTTGAACTCCTCTGTGCTGAGCAGGTACCCCCTATGTCTACACTGAAGGCTTCTTGTGCAAGAACTGTTTTGCACAAGAGTTCTTGTGCAAAAAGTCTTGCCCAAGAACACGTCCACACGGCCATGTGCTTTTGTGCAAGAGCATCCATGGCAGTGTGGACACTCTTGCGCAAGAAAGCTCTGATGGCCAATTTAGCCATAGGGGTTTCTTGCGCAAGAAACCTCTGTTGCCCATCCACACTGCCTTCTTGGACAAGAGCTCTTGTGCAAGAGGGCTTATTCGTCCTGGGGAGAAGAATAACTCTTGCGCAAGGAGTACTCTGTTCCGACGCTGTGCTGTAAATTTACTTGCGCAAGAACACGTGTGTTATGTAGAAGCTCTGCAAGTTTTTGCGCAAGAAGCCTACTGTGTAGACGTAGCTCCAAACTTTTAAACTGAATCCCAGGAAAGCAACTCTCTGGCTATGTCTACACTGGCGGGTTCTTGTGCAGAGCGTCCACACTGCCCGCCCACTCTTGTGCAAGAAGATTTACAGTACGACGTGGGAAGAGAGGGCTTCTTGCGCAAGAGCTATGCTCTTTTTTTACAAGTGTAAGACTTCTTGCGCAACAGCTCTTGTGCAAGAGGGCAGTGTGGCCGCGTGGCAGGTGTTTCTTGTGCAAGAAAGCCCTATGGCTAAAATGGCCATCGGAGCTTTCTTGCGCAAGAGAGCATCCACACTGCCATGGATGCTCTTGCGCGAAAGCACATCTCGCACATGGCAGTGTGGATGTGTTCTTGCACAAGACTTCTTGCACAAGAACCCTTGCACAAGATGTTCTTGCACAAGAACCCACCAGTGTAGACGTAGCCTCTGTGTTTTCAATCTGCTTTTTTTCAGTGGCTCTGGAACACCTAGTAACCAAGTCTGCTTTACGAAATACACTGCTTTTATGAACAAAACACCGGTTTAAGGCTGTGAGCCGATCCCTGTGTCCTAGAAGGCAGGAGGTTCTGTGTGCACATGCCTGAGACCGAAAGGTGAACTATGAAGAAATTACAGGTTGGGTGTTTTTCAAGCTCTCTGTGCAGGGAAGTTAGAGAGCTTGGGGGTGCCCCACAGGAAGTAATTCCCAGGGAGGTGACGGCGGGTTAAGGGAGAGGGGAGGGGATTTCCGTGCAGACTTTTTGAGTCCCGGTTTGCTGCTGGGCTCCCTGGATGCGGGTGGAACACTTGAGATGTTTTGGCAAATTATCAGCCCTTCCAATCTCTCCGTCCTTGCCCAGCCTGGCGCGGAACCGCGGAGACTCCGAGCCCCAGCATGCAATGCTGCTTTGGACTCTGACCAGCGCAAGCAGGTGCGGACTACACGTGAGGAGCAGCAGCAAGCGTTCGCACACAGAGACCAGGATTGACCCAGGGTCTCGGGAGCAGAGCGGCAGAGCCATGCCCAGCAAATCAAAGGGGCAGCTCCTTTGTGTCCCACGCTGTGTCCTGTGCCAGGGCAGGCAGCCCGAACACCTGCCCCCAACCCCACCGGTCAAAGATGTCACACGCTCCACTGGGATTTCACCGGAGCGGTGCAGCAAGCCACTGGGGAAAGAGCCTCCGCAGACGCAGTTACATAACATGGGAAATCAACATGCAGAGCCTTTGGGCCAAGCCAGTGCAGAGCTGCTGGAACGGGAGTGCGGTGATGAAATAGGCTTTTCTGCGTTGTAGGCGCTGGCTGCCAGTCTGTATGCCCTGATGTGGCGAGGAGGGACCGGAAGGAACAGCACTCAACAAACAAACCATTACAACGCTCAAGTCTGGGCAAGACACAGGGCGTGGACGGGAGTTGCCAAATCCGGTTGTATTCCTTAGAGACGACGACAGCAACTGTAGGGCTTCGTAGTCACACTCTTAATGGGCCTCTCTGCACCGAAACTGACACCCAGGTTTGGGGCCTGGGAATTCCAGGAACAAGCCGAGGGGTCAGGGAATGACTCAGGACAATGCAAAGCAGCTCTGCTTCCCCAGCGCTTAGCCTCTGCAGGGTTCACTGATAAGCCTCCCAGAATGGGATCTAGGCCAAACGCAGGGTCTGGCACCAGCACCCATGGCTGGACCATACACATTTGGGGTCATCCACAGACAGTGATCCTGGGTACGTGTCGGGCACAGTGGAAGCAGCCAAAAGGGAGGGGGCTGGACATGGAAGGAGCCATGAACATGGGGTGTCAATATGGACAGCCCTCTGGAAGGGCTCTTCATCCAGGCATGGAGCTGGGGACAGGAGTTTGGTCCCTGGGCAAGAAGGATCACCACTATTTCTCCAGTGGGAGCCACTTGCCCAGGGAGTTTGTGGGGCCTCAGGGGCAAAAGTCGCTGGAGTCCTGTTCCATTGACTCGGTGACGTCATGTGAGCCAAGCGCCCACTGCGCACTTCATACAAACTGCAGAGACCCCCAGGCAGGGGCGACCCGGGCTCGGGGAAGAATTCTCTGCCGCAGGAGCAGCTCAGAGCCAACATGGGGCCCGGGGGCAGGGCTGTGTCTGAAGGCTGAAGGGGAGGTACCCATTGAGGGCTTTGGAGATTCTGCAGCCGGTCCCTGGGGCTAATTGTGCTCCCGCAGTGCAGGGGTGGTGTAAAACCCGCTTTGTCCTGCCCCCGACTGTGCTTCTCGGGAAGCGTGGCAGGAAGACTGCCGTTCTGGGGTCCTGTCTACACTACGGGAGAAAGTCGAACTAAGGTTCACAACTCCGCTCCGAGAACAGTCGAATTTCCGCGGCATCCCCACTGCAGGAGGACGATGGGCGAAATTCTCCCATCAAGATCCCTTACTCCTCGCAGCCTGGTGGAGAACTGGAGTTAACGAGTGCACCGTCAGCGGTTGATTTAGCGGGTTCTTACGAGACCCCCGAAATCAAACCCAGGAGATGGATCTCTGGCGTGTGGATCTCGGGAGACATGAGGACGAGCCCCGAGTCTATGAACATGACATTTGCAATGGCAAGAAAAACACCAACGTCAACATGCTCAGGGGAAGATGGGAAATGCCGGAGTGGATCAGACCATGGTCCTTCTAGTCCAGATCCTGTCTCTAGCGATGGCTGGTGCAAGAGGCCTCAGTGGAAGGTGCAGGAACCTGGCAGATGTAGAATAATTTGACCCCCGATTAGGTCTCATAGTTAGCGATTGCCTGAGGCACGAGGTTTTATCGTCCTTTTCTAGACCATTCGGTATTTTAGAAACTTTTATCACAACCTCTCCTGTTGGTGCCACTCTAAGGTAACAGTCCCTAGCTTTTCAAACTCCGCACAGGAGAGTTTTTCCAGGCCTGAGTCAGACTTGTGGGGATTTTCTGACCCTCCTCTAATTCTGCAGAATCTTTCTGAGCTGGGACGATCCGACCTGCACCCAGTATCTAGACGAGGCTGCACCGCTGGTTTACATAAAGTCATGAGTCTCCCTAGTTCTCTATCCCATTCTCTCTGCTATCGAATGTCTTGCAGCTGCCCAGCGAACAGAGGCTCCCACTGAGCTGCCGACAGTGGTCCCCAGGCTGCATGGGCGAAGCAGCCGCCTGTAGAGCTAGCCATCTCGCTGCTCTGCACAATTAACAACATTGTGACTCGCCATTAACACCATTCTGTGCTTTGCTAACATCTTTTCATGCAAAGATCTCACAGCGCTTTACTGGGACTAACAGTTTAAGCCTCACGACAGTCTTTTGGGGATTGATTTGTGCATTCATCTCCTTTACCCACCAGTGAACTGCAGTGCCTTCTTGGGTAGAGAACCACAGCTGTCTGACCACTAACAGAAACAATTCCTATCAGGAAGTGAACAAACACCAAGATCCTGCTGCTCTATTATCCCCACCCCTTGTGGAGTCATTCGTATTGGTGGAAAGGGAGTGCAAACAGGGTATAAAATCCAATCCGATTGGTAGCTGGGGCTGGGCCAAGCTAAATACCAAAGTTGGGCAGTAATTTCTTTGATCACCCAAGCCAAGGTTTTATATGCATCATACATAAGATGACACTTGTAACCGAACAGCACCTGGGAGCCCCACACTGGGGCATGGCTCAGAACTGACTGGGAAGAAGGCTGCTGCTACCTACAGAATCAGCACCATCAGCCACACAAAGTGTCTTTGGAGTTCGCCTGCTCCGGAGAGCAGATCGGATCAAGTAAACGATGCTGCGGCAGTCCTCTCCCCGGCTGGGCTGCTCC